CATAGTGTCTTCTATTTTATGTAAAATATAGAAATTCATGAATAATTTTCCATATTTTCTAAATCTATAAAAGACAAAAAATACTTAAAATTTACATATATATTTGCTACTCCACATTCCAACCTCTAAAACTTATAATCTCTCAATTAAATATTACATCCATCAAAAACTGCTATCTAAGAATTGAAACTCATTAAGATTGTATTATCTATTTCAATCTATTTCAATTTTAATCAATCATATGTTAAAATGTTAAACCATGTAAAAATAATTCATACGCCTTTAAATTTATATATTTTTTTGACTCATAAAATAGTAAATAGTGTATGACTCCAATGAGGATATTTCATTATAAATATTCATGTTTTATTTAGCACATACTAGAGGCTCCCTTTCCTTGCCTTCAGCAGCCCAATCTTGGCATTTCACAAGGCTTTCTACATCTATGTTGAAATTTATAATTCTTTAGTAACAGTATTAGTTTTATATTTATTGATTACATTTAATCAACTATTCCGGATGAATCCAACTTGTTATAAGAATTAAACTAAACAACTATATTTTCTTAGTATATCCCTGATCTTTGTATTAAAGTTGTAATAAAGCAAGTAATTTCAGTAGATGCCATAAAATACTGTCTATACCGAAACCCATCAACCAAGATAATTATTTAGTCGATATATCTTATGACAGACTATTTCCGAAAACGAACAGTTTTATTTTATGAGAAGCTATCTTCAGAAAAGAGGAAATCGCGGATTTGGTAGATATTTTCTTTATCGTAAAAGAGGGATTATATTTTCATTCTTGGTTAACTTCTTTTTGTTGCATCCTCTGCTTTATTAATCTTTATTTTCGGCATACTTTTATGTTGCTACTATTTATGAAAAGGGAACGATTTGAACTAAATCGCATCTACTTTGCTTTTATCACAATTTTACTAAAATGTTAGTAATTTTAAAAGACTCCCATCTACTGATTTAAAAAGTGTCATTTAATAAGAATACTTCTTACATTATTTATAAAATCCCTAATATATATTCCTATATATTCTAACTGAATATAACATAAATATATTAATCTGTGAAATATTCATGGTTTTAGAAAAGCAATTTAAAACATTTTTTCTTCCACTATTTAAAGTTAATTGAGAAAAATCAGTTTTTTATTTACTTTGCTTTCGATTTTCTTTTTAAAGTTTTGAATTTTTCCTTATTGTTTCCGGCATTAAAACAAAATTTTTTATATTTACATTCTATGTTGTGTGCGCGCAACAGTTTAATATTTCTTTGTAAGACTATAATGACGTGTCAACGCGAGGATTGTCGATCAATTTTGAAAGTTTATATTATTAGCTTAGGAACTTAGTCTACTAACTACTATATATCTATACCATTCTTTATACAATTATCATATTCTTTGAATTCTGTATGAATACATGTTGCATCTATCTGTCCACTCTTGAAAAAAATTTTCATTTATTGATAGAATTATAATGATAGTTATTCTAATTTTCTGATTAACCTCATAGATAACATAAATTGCTTTAATGGTACTACAACTGTTTGTATGATTGCTTCGTATTAAACTGGATTTAACCTACTTGACATCATTTTTGGGAATCGAAGTCGTATATATTTAATGACATTAATAAATTTATATGTAGTTTCTAAGAATCGACTATTTAAAATATTCTACATAAAATATTGCAATTGTAAACAAGAGGATTCATTTTTATCAGCCAAATCGATTTTTGCAACCTGAATACGGTAGATGATGCCTAAATTCTGATGATTCACAATTGCTTAAAAAAAGTTTTTGGAAATCGATTGCACATTAATGATTGTATATAAAGAATAATTTGTAATTACAATATCTAAAAGTGTTATTAATATATCAGTCGTACAAAATCTATTAATCTATTATTTACTTTAAAAAATGTTAAAAATTGGAGATCAAGTACATATAAAAATTTGAAGAACTCTTATAAACGTTCTTTCCAACCACAGGAACACAATTAACATTAGCGAAGGACTTTTTTAAGGCTCTTTTTTTTCACAAATATCTAAGTTTGTAGTTCTTCCGGCACCGGATTCTTTAAAAATTCCAATAAAAATGAAAAATTCAGGACAAAATAAATTTTAAAAAAATATTAGAAATTGAAGGCTAAAAATAAGTAAAACTTTGAAGTCTTTTTTTATAAAAGCCCTTCAATTTGTAATATATCTTAAAATACAGTATATTATTATAATTTGGTGCTTGGTTGTTTAATAGTTAGTGTTATATTTATCATATAAACGTATACTTTCTTTACTTTGCTATTGCGTGTTTTCGATCTTCCTTTTCCCATGATAGAGATTTTTTTACGTAATATTATATTTATGAAGCTATCTCATACATGTAAAAATGAAGATTTCTTATACATTGCATGCGAATATTGCAACGTAACGTTTTATGAAATTAAATTTTTTTTGTTCAATTTTTATGGGTTTAAATTATAAATGTGTATAAGGTTTTGAACAATTTGAATGCTTAAAAGAAAAACAAGTATATTCTTCAATAAATAATAATTTTTGGTTCCTGTAATAAATGCGATTTGTTAAGGATATTAAATACAATTAATTTACTGGATTTAAATTCTAATTAGAACAGAAATAACATTAAATATTTTCTTTAATATTATCCTAAAAGTTAAAGTTCTTCATTAAATGCAATAAATCGATAGCAACAATATTGATGAAATGATTAAACTTTTTTTTTGTAAACTTCCTTTCACTTTGATTAAAATGTGACAAAATTACTCGTGTTTATTAAAAAAAATTTCTTAATTTTTTTTCTTTATGTTGTTCGTGTTCATTTATTAATTTTCGAATTAGCATGCTTGATATTTTTAATCAAAGTTTAAAATTGATTAATATTTTCCTATATTCGAATGATTTGAATATTCTCTCAATTTTTATTTAATTATCTATATGAAAATAATTAATATAACGACTTTGTTTGAAATAGCGATTTATATCCAGTTAACGGAGTGAAATAAATGTCAGAAAAAAAATTTTTTTTAGTAAATTATAAATTAAAATTTAATAAAATGCAACGTAGATAAAATTTAAATTTTGTATCATTATTTTAGATTTTTCCGATATTCATCTGCAGACTTTTAGTTAATTAAATACATTTAAAAAAAATTAAATTTAGATCTTTAATACATTGTTTACCATCTAAGAAAACAAAAATCCCCATTTTCAAGACAGAGAATAGATTTTAAACCGCCTTTTATTTTTTTCCCTCTTAATCGATTACAGTATTTACTTCTTTTATCTGAACTTTGCTGTACTTAATCTTTAGATTTATTAGATCTCGTGTTCTAATTTTATTTAATTCTTAAATGTTTTCAGAATTTTATTTATAAGTTCGCTGTTTAGTTCATTATGGTTTGCCTATATCTCACTTTTCGATAGATACGAATAGATTTATTTATTTACGTATAAGAATGAAGTTATTTATATTTTTTTTTATTTTGAAACGAATATATTTCTCTCAAAATTAAATTAATGGTTATAAAGCTTTGAGTCACTTCTCTGAAGAAGAGTTTAGAAATTTTCCGCTGTAATGTAGTCAAGAACACGGTTTTCTTTAAAAAAAAAAAAAGCAATAAATAAAAGTAAAATGTAAAAGTTTTGCTTATTTAAATGTGATAGTTATTCAAACTTCTATTATTTTTAATGTAATAATTTTAATATATATTAAAAAATTTTTTAAATCTTTATTGATCATGGTTTCTTTTTGGATTGTGAGTGGGAATGGTTGGATGGGATTTACCCCAGCATATAGGCTATATTACTACAATGCATTCGTGCACACATATTATATTATATTATATACTGTATATTTGGTTATGTTTATCAGGTTTCGAGGTGGGGAGGATAAGGAGTTGCGGCCACCCCTAAAACATCATTAAAATATATTCTCATAGGACTCAGATACGTCTTCAAAGTTTCGGACTTCTATCATGATTAGAAGTGGATAGTATTTGAGATGCAAGATTTGAGGATGATACAAACCAATTTAAATAAGTGTTTAGAAATGATTAATTACCAATATAAATACCCCAATGTGTGGTCTGCAGATAATCGAAGGTCTTCGTTGTTATACGATAAGGTTAGCCAAGTCTTCAAGATTTGTTCCGATTATTGTTCATATTTCAACTGATGTAATCGGCGATCATAATAAAATATACTATAAAAAAAATGTAATGACCAAACACATTGATAAATGTGTAGCTATTACAGAAGGTAAAGTATATGGAAAATATTCAAATAATTCGGAAATTTCAAAATTTTAAGGCGCTCTATTGAGAAAATGTCCTCTTCGTCTAAGTAATTCGAAAATTTAACTCCTAAAGGAATCCATTAACTAAAAAAAATGTAAATAATATATATATTCATTTAAATATATTTCATATATTTTTAATTTTTATTGTTGTTATATTTATATATATTTCATGATTAAAATTATCATAATAATCTTTCATAGCTACATTTGATTTTTTTTAACTTCACATTATATATATATACACATATATGTTACCATTAAATATTAAAATTCTTGTATACTTTATTAAATAGTAGCTGTTTTATTTAAAATAGAAAATATTTTCGATTACTGTTTTCTTTGCCTAAATTAAAAAAAGGAAATAAGATGTTTTTTAGAGTTTTAAATTTAGAAAAATGTTTTTGGTTTGTTAAGCCACGTAGTTAATTCAAATTAAATTGAAAAGAATCGAATATGTTCTTTTCTGCAGGTAGTTTTTCAGTCCAATATGCGATTACAAAAGCTATTAAGGCAGTTAAGTATCTGAAATATTGTATTTGTAGCGCACTTTTTTTTTCCAAAAGTTTTACACCTNCAGTCGACCCCCCTATAACACTGTTGATTTTTCCGTTTTATATGAATTCCATGTTGTATGAGTCACTTAGATTTTACAAATACGTGAGCAGTTCACACCCTGGCACACGTATTTGTAAAATCTAAGTGACTCGTATAACATGGAATTCATATAAAACGGAAAAATCAACAGTGTTATAGGGGGGTCGACTTGTACTATATAATAGTGCACATAACATATAATGTATATATGTTTAAAAGCTTCTTTCTATGATAAAAGTGAGAAGAAAGACGAAAAAAAATATTCGATCGCATGCAGTAGCGATGATGCTCCATCCTTGACAAGCGCTCTTCTGATCTGTGAAATTTGCTTGTATTGTAATTTTACTATTTTTCTCGGCATCTGAATATTGATTCGAAGATTCGGTTGAATTTAATAATAACACTCGACCGATAATACCGGAAGTAAGAAACTTTGGAGTCTTGCAAGCCGTTTTCATACTGGAAATGTTTACGATGACGATCTCGACTAAGATGGCCGCCGCCATTATAAACAAAGAATTTCTGGTGAAAGAGGCTGAAATATAAAAGGAAAAAAAAAAAACATTATATTTTAATATATGAAATGTTTGGCTTTAATATAGAATATAAATGTTTTCTATACAAAGGAATATTAATACTGTATATTGATTTGCATAACAACTGATTATCAGAAGTAATTCTATTAAATTTGTACGATATATTCGTAATTATAAAATGTCTGCTTACTCTGATAGCATCGTGGATTAAGACAATAATGGAATTACGCTCATAGATATCGCGAAATACAACGAATAAGTTCGGCATTCTATATTTTTAGGTGTTTGGACTTGAATATCGTTAGACTTTTATATTGAATATATTGATATCTTACCTGCTACTTCTAATCCAGGTTTGGAGAGATGACCCAGTAGCAAGATCATGGCTAGAATGAGGAGGGAAACAGCACCCAACGTAAATTTTTTCTCCGAATCGGATGGTAACCAAAACATAGCAAGGGTGAGGATGATGGCGATCAAAGTGGTTCCGCACATAATTTCCTTAGCATTAACGGCTTTCGAATGCCATTTTCTCAGTTCGAAGATGTACGAAATGCTGACGTAAGCTTCGGGACAACACTCGTAAAATCTTTCTTGACGTATTGCTTCGAATCGCACAACTTCCCATTTCGGATTGGTATTGGAAAAATGGGAAGTATCGACTTTATCTTTAGATAACTTCAAATTTATATAATTAACGTTTTCTGTCCAGGAACCTATTGTAATATTGCATTTCTGATCGTTTCCTGATCTGTTGATGATACAAAACGTAGAAAATGTGATCGGTGGTATCCACATAACCGTCCCATCGTTGCTAATTAACATGTTGGTTTCTCCATTTAAAGTTTCCACTACAAGTTTGGCCGGATGGCTAGAAATATTTTAAAAAGTTTTATTATCGTTAATGTTGTGGATATGTTAAAATCATTATATTTATTCTATTAATCAGATTCATTCTGTTTATCAATGTCCATTTAATTTTTGTAATTCTACTAATTTATCAGAATTTTCCGGCTAAATAATTTTCTGTAATATTTTACTTTTGGTCTACATTTCCTGACTTTCATTGAAATTGTACATTAATTTAATGAATAACACGAATGACTAAACTTCAACAAGAATAAAATCTATTTAGCTCCATATGTCAAGATTTTCACTAAGATTCTATTCACTATGTTTAATTTAAGCATTGACTTATACATAAATAATTCCATTAATATCATCATAAAATAGTAACGGTTTAAAAGTTTAGAGAGATTAAATTTAATAAAACTTTAAAAATTTCATATTTTAATTTCAGTTTTGGATAAAAACACACTAAAATTTTTTAATCTCGTTTCGAAATACTTTAAAATATAAGAATAAAAAATTAGTTTGTGTATTTTTAAATCAATTTGAAATAAAAATAATTGGAAATTAATTATTTTTAATTATAGAAATATTTCCCGTTGTTATTACTAATATGTAGAATAAAGAGTAGATTTATCCTGGACCAAATTCGCATTATTAATAATTTTAATCCAGACAATTACTGTCTGTCCAGATGAATGCTAATTAACTTTGAATTTGATTCTGTTGGTTTAATATATTCCTTGTTAATCTTGATTGAATATTAAATTTATTGATAGATTAAATAAATTCGACACATTCGTTCCAATAATCAGATTTGATCAAACGAAAAGCGAAAAATTCAATTAAGATAATAAGAAAACTATTTAATACATATTGAATTTTACTTAAATATTCTCTCTTTGTATAAAATTGCGTAAATTCGATGATGTAAATATATTTTTATTTAAATATTTATCAATAATATTTTTATATAATGGTAAATTTGTAGAATTGATAAAATTTAGTTCTCAATTTTTTTTAACCGTCGATAAGAATTTAACTAATTTATTTAAAGCTTTCAAAAACACTTTAAATGTAATTGTATTAATTAATTTATAAGGGAGAAAGTCGAAAAATTTTCTAAAATTTACAATACAATTGTACCAAATGCAAATTTTTGGTAATTAAGCGGTTGAGAACGATAAGAGTACTACATTCTCGTAAAGTATTCAGATTCTCTCTGATATTAAAAGAAAATTTGTAAATAATTCTCAGTCAAATTTATTTTGAATCATTTGTTCTATCTGTATAATTCATCCAATCGGAAGTGAAACAGCCCTTTAATTAGATCCATACCGTAATTTAAAGTTTGTATTGGATCCTTATCACCGAGTGACTGGAGGCTATCTATTAATGGCAGCCAGTTGGAAAATTACGTCACTCCCTTCACCAATTCGAACAACCTGATGTCATTTTGCAATTATCTCGACTTATCCTAGAAGTTTCACATATCGATAAACAGTATCATTTGAATTCTCTTGTTAATATGCAGCTGTGATTTTATCTTTAATATAAATCGACTCGTATTTTAATATCTAATGACACCACAGCGTTAAAACGAGTTTCGGTATATCTTTTATTTCTCTCGTGTCTTTAATCAATAGTTTTAAGTAGTCTTAATCGGTTTCAAGGTACTCTACCAGAATACCAATTCTATGTTTACGTATTGTTTTATTGAATAAATTAATTTACAGCAAGTTGTTGATGTTTTTATTTAAGACAACTTTCACCGTATTTTATTTAGTTTTGAAATCCATTGTCGATAGTTTCCGATATTGGCACTTGGATCATATCTAATGGAAGGTAGTGGAATCAGTTTGATCAATGACTATACGAAGGATCAATATTAGGCAGCAATATAGTGAAGTATATCAAAAACTGGTAGTATCAGCGTTTCCAAACTTTCTCCATCTTCTAGATGTCTTTCTTTTTATGATTATTTCCTTATTTCTCACTCTCCTCTTTCTTCTCTTTCTTGCATTTTCGACATCACATTAGATTATATAGATGATAAAAATGTATATCATATGTTTATTTTATAAACTGCTTTCTTGAAGCAGTTTATTCTTATACATTTATCTTTGAATAACTATAATCCTTATACATTTTTATCTATTCTTTTAAAATTATCGTTATTATTATTCTAATTATAAAATTGAGAGATTTGCAATTAATAAGTAAGTAATGAGGAAATTCAATTATTAAGTCTTAAAAACAATAATTGGCACGCATATAATGACCTAGTTGGAGCAGCAATTTTGTGGGAATATTCTCTTTTCCACTAATATCTAACCGGTATCGTCTTAAATCGATCTGAGGTGTTAGTAGGTATCTTCCTGCAGCGACTGCGATTGGCAGAAATTAATGTGATGGAAAAGTACATGATCTCCAACTGTATCAGTTGGGATAATGAAAAATTAGATATTTTAGCATTTTAGAATAAGTAATGTTAAGTTTCTATGACAGAATTTTGAATTATAATTTTATGGAATGTAAGGGAATTAAATTCTCCTTTCATTTCATAAAATAATGAAAAAACTTATAATTAAGTTTTAGTGTTTTGATAATTTTTACATACCTTACTTACGTATTTATGTACATTATTTACGTTTATACAGGGTGGGTCAAAAGTCACTTTACCATTTAAAAATGAAATAACTTTTATACTTTTAATTATTTTTTAAGTTTCTTTTTAACATTATAATGTATACATCTTGGAGATTTTTTTGGCCTAAACATGAAAGATAACATCTTTTTAAATACCCCTCCCACGTTTTCCTCTTCATAAAGGCGAGCTGTTTCTAAGGTAAAGTGACTTTTGGCCTATCCTGTATAAAAATGTACAGAATGTAACATTGAGCAGTATGAATTGGAATTGGACGGTTGCAAATTAAACCATTAATCTCCAAACATATTAATAATTTTATTTTGAAATTTTAAATCATGAATTCTGTATAGATATTCTTTAAATTTGTTTAATAAAAATAAATACATAAAATGAAGTGTTTAATTTTTTTTAATTGAAAGGTCTTAAATGTTTTATTGTACGTTTCAATTAAGAAACGAACGCAAAATTAAGCCGAAATGTCAACAACCAAGTTAGCAGTTTATTGTCAATTTTTGTTTGTCTGTTTACTTAGTTTTTCTCGTCTTTTGTTAGATTCATTTTGTAGATTAATAAGAGACTAAGTCCAAATAATGAAGAGTAACAATGTATGACTCGCGAGCAACTTTATTTGCTAAATGAAAATGTTAACTACATTACGTTCTAATTATAAAACAATTAGACAGAAAAAAGCATACAAGCATCGTGATCATTTTTTGTATTCACTTAAATGATTACATTTAAGTTCTTTTTATATTCAGCAAATAGAATTTAATCTTTAAAAGAATTTAATTTAAAGATAAAAAATTAGCCATGAATTTTTTTTGTTTAAGGTTGTAAATATCAAAAATCTAAACTAAAATGAAGAAATATCATCCATTTTAGTTTTCACTTATATAGCTTAAATAACTGATTATAATATTTATCATTACTTGTATTATTGCAGGAATTTTGGCAGTACAGGAATTTATTACAATGCCTAGCGACGTAGAAGTGAATCCTGGTGAAACATCGCGTTTGATCTGCACAGTGAGGAACAGAGGAGGTGAATGTGCCTGGTTGAAAGATGGAGTAGTAGTTGGCAGAATTAACGAGAAATACAGGTTTCAAAGAGAGCCAGCTGATGGAGATTGCAGTATTGATGTTCTTAACAGTAAACTCGAAGACGACGACGGAATGTGGCAGTGCCAGGTGACCCAAGGATCTCTACATGATCCCACTCTGACGTCCGGTGAAGTTAGATTAACAGTGAGAGGTAAGAGTAGTGTTGAGTGAAATATTTTAATGGAGCTGACGTGAAGAATGGTTCAATTAAATCTGATTCTCGTTTCAAATACTTCATGTTGCTTAGAATATAATCTAAAGCGAATACCGAGATATACTATAAATTTTCTTGAGCGCTACACGAAGGCACTATAAAAGGAAATATATCAAATTTTATAAATTGAAATTTCATTGTTAACTGCCGTTATATGGGATAAATTTATTATTTTTGATGTTAAAGATTTAANGAATTTTATTTATAAGTTCGCTGTTTAGTTCATTATGGTTTGCCTATATCTCACTTTTCGATAGATACGAATAGATTTATTTATTTACGTATAAGAATGAAGTTATTTATATTTTTTTTTATTTTGAAACGAATATATTTCTCTCAAAATTAAATTAATGGTTATAAAGCTTTGAGTCACTTCTCTGAAGAAGAGTTTAGAAATTTTCCGCTGTAATGTAGTCAAGAACACGGTTTTCTTAAAAAAAAAAAAAAAGCAATAAATAAAAGTAAAATGTAAAAGTTTTGCTTATTTAAATGTGATAGTTATTCAAACTTCTATTATTTTTAATGTAATAATTTTAATATATATTAAAAAATTTTTTAAATCTTTATTGATCATGGTTTCTTTTTGGATTGTGAGTGGGAATGGTTGGATGGGATTTACCCCAGCATATAGGCTATATTACTACAATGCATTCGTGCACACATATTATATTATATTATATACTGTATATTTGGTTATGTTTATCAGGTTTCGAGGTGGGGAGGATAAGGAGTTGCGGCCACCCCTAAAACATCATTAAAATATATTCTCATAGGACTCAGATACGTCTTCAAAGTTTCGGACTTCTATCATGATTAGAAGTGGATAGAATTTGAGATGCAAGATTTGAGGATGATACAAACCAATTTAAATAAGTGTTTAGAAATGATTAATTACCAATATAAATACCCCAATGTGTGGTCTGCAGATAATCGAAGGTCTTCGTTGTTATACGATAAGGTTAGCCAAGTCTTCAAGATTTGTTCCGATTATTGTTCATATTTCAACTGATGTAATCGGCGATCATAATAAAATATACTATAAAAAAAATGTAATGACCAAACACATTGATAAATGTGTAGCTATTACAGAAGGTAAAGTATATGGAAAATATTCAAATAATTCGGAAATTTCAAAATTTTAAGGCGCTCTATTGAGAAAATGTCCTCTTCGTCTAAGTAATTCGAAAATTTAACTCCTAAAGGAATCCACCAACTAAAAAAAATGTAAATAATATATATATTCATTTAAATATATTTCATATATTTTTAATTTTTATTGTTGTTATATTTATATATATTTCATGATTAAAATTATCATAATAATCTTTCATAGCTACATTTGATTTTTTTTAACTTCACATTATATATATATACACATATATGTTACCATTAAATATTAAAATTCTTGTATACTTTATTAAATAGTAGCTGTTTTATTTAAAATAGAAAATATTTTCGATTACTGTTTTCTTTGCCTAAATTAAAAAAAGGAAATAAGATGTTTTTTAGAGTTTTAAATTTAGAAAAATGTTTTTGGTTTGTTAAGCCACGTAGTTAATTCAAATTAAATTGAAAAGAATCGAATATGTTCTTTTCTGCAGGTAGTTTTTCAGTCCAATATGCGATTACAAAAGCTATTAAGGCAGTTAAGTATCTGAAATATTGTATTTGTAGCGCACTTTTTTTTTCCAAAAGTTTTACACCTTGTGAATTGCATTACTGTAATAGAGAAATAAGCGAAATCTTTGAAAAACTTGTCATTGATTAAAATTCAAATTAAAATGCAAATTCGAAACTCCAACTTTAATCTATCGTTTGCGAAAATTCAAATTTTCCAAGGAGTAAATAAATGAAGTTTTTAATGTTTTCAAATGTTTTGCTTCTGTATATTGGAGTGTTTTTTCATTTTGTTTATTGTATCTGAATGCAGAATACAAAAAACGTTATTAAGTTGAATTTAGTGTGCTGAATTTAAGAATAGCAATGATAAACTAAATCTTAAAAATAAACATAAATCTATTAGCTTCATAAATGCAATTAATTTTGTATTATGATAAATATCAAGAGATTATTTTGTAATTAATTTAAACCATTTGTAACCTTCTGAGGAATTGTTAAAAGAAAAATTTTAAATAATTTTGTTATTCTGTGATGTCCATATCTTGCAAATTTTCTTTCGTTCCAAAAAATAAATATATTTTTTAATTACTTCGAGATGAACTAGGAATTGAAAAACTTGTGATTCATATATATAACGGATCAAAAGATATAATGTCATAATATTTGATAAATTTAACATGTTTTTATGTTATCCATTTACTTATGTCAAAGATACATCCCTGTAAGGTACAATCAAGTCCGTTGAGATAGAGATTCTCGTCCAGACCATTACAATGTTGTCATATAAAGCCTCTTTGAATGATATTACAGGATTGATTCCATTTGCTAGACTGGCATAATCGATGCACGTATGGAGTCATTTTGAGATAAGTCATCTCAATCAGTACACAGTACCTACCACTGATCCTGGATTTACTCGACCNGTAAATTCGATGATGTAAATATATTTTTATTTAAATATTTATCAATAATATTTTTATATAATGGTAAATTTGTAGAATTGATAAAATTTAGTTCTCAATTTTTTTTAACCGTCGATAAGAATTTAACTAATTTATTTAAAGCTTTCAAAAACACTTTAAATGTAATTGTATTAATTAATTTATAAGGGAGAAAGTCGAAAAATTTTCTAAAATTTACAATACAATTGTACCAAATGCAAATTTTTGGTAATTAAGCGGTTGAGAACGATAAGAGTACTACATTCTCGTAAAGTATTCAGATTCTCTCTGATATTAAAAGAAAATTTGTAAATAATTCTCAGTCAAATTTATTTTGAATCATTTGTTCTATCTGTATAATTCATCCAATCGGAAGTGAAACAGCCCTTTAATTAGATCCATACCGTAATTTAAAGTTTGTATTGGATCCTTATCACCGAGTGACTGGAGGCTATCTATTAATGGCAGCCAGTTGGAAAATTACGTCACTCCCTTCACCAATTCGAACAACCTGATGTCATTTTGCAATTATCTCGACTTATCCTAGAAGTTTCACATATCGATAAACAGTATCATTTGAATTCTCTTGTTAATATGCAGCTGTGATTTTATCTTTAATATAAATCGACTCGTATTTTAATATCTAATGACACCACAGCGTTAAAACGAGTTTCGGTATATCTTTTATTTCTCTCGTGTCTTTAATCAATAGTTTTAAGTAGTCTTAATCGGTTTCAAGGTACTCTACCAGAATACCAATTCTATGTTTACGTATTGTTTTATTGAATAAATTAATTTACAGCAAGTTGTTGATGTTTTTATTTAAGACAACTTTCACCGTATTTTATTTAGTTTTGAAATCCATTGTCGATAGTTTCCGATATTGGCACTTGGATCATATCTAATGGAAGGTAGTGGAATCAGTTTGATCAATGACTATACGAAGGATCAATATTAGGCAGCAATATAGTGAAGTATATCAAAAACTGGTAGTATCAGCGTTTCCAAACTTTCTCCATCTTCTAGATGTCTTTCTTTTTATGATTATTTCCTTATTTCTCACTCTCCTCTTTCTTCTCTTTCTTGCATTTTCGACATCACATTAGATTATATAGATGATAAAAATGTATATCATATGTTTATTTTATAAACTGCTTTCTTGAAGCAGTTTATTCTTATACATTTATCTTTGAATAACTATAATCCTTATACATTTTTATCTATTCTTTTAAAATTATCGTTATTATTATTCTAATTATAAAATTGAGAGATTTGCAATTAATAAGTAAGTAATGAGGAAATTCAATTATTAAGTCTTAAAAACAATAATTGGCACGCATATAATGACCTAGTTGGAGCAGCAATTTTGTGGGAATATTCTCTTTTCCACTAATATCTAACCGGTATCGTCTTAAATCGATCTGAGGTGTTAGTAGGTATCTTCCTGCAGCGACTGCGATTGGCAGAAATTAATGTGATGGAAAAGTACATGATCTCCAACTGTATCAGTTGGGATAATGAAAAATTAGATATTTTAGCATTTTAGAATAAGTAATGTTAAGTTTCTATGACAGAATTTTGAATTATAATTTTATGGAATGTAAGGGAATTAAATTCTCCTTTCATTTCATAAAATAATGAAAAAACTTATAATTAAGTTTTAGTGTTTTGATAATTTTTACATACCTTACTTACGTATTTATGCACATTATTTACGTTTATACAGGGTGGGTCAAAAGTCACTTTACCATTTAAAAATGAAATAACTTTTATACTTTTAATTATTTTTTAAGTTTCTTTTTAACATTATAATGTATACATCTTGGAGATTTTTTTGGCCTAAACATGAAAGATAACATCTTTTTAAATACCCCTCCCACGTTTTCCTCTTCATAAAGGCGAGCTGTTTCTAAGGTAAAGTGACTTTTGGCCTATCCTGTATAAAAATGTACAGAATGTAACATTGAGCAGTATGAATTGGAATTGGACGGTTGCAAATTAAACCATTAATCTCCAAACATATTAATAATTTTATTTTGAAATTTTAAATCATGAATTCTGTATAGATATTCTTTAAATTTGTTTAATAAAAATAAATACGTAAAATGAAGTGTTTAATTTTTTTTAATTGAAAGGTCTTAAATGTTTTATTGTACGTTTCAATTAAGAAACGAACGCAAAATTAAGCCGAAATGTCAACAACCAAGTTAGCAGTTTATTGTCAATTTTTGTTTGTCTGTTTACTTAGTTTTTCTCGTCTTTTGTTAGATTCATTTTGTAGATTAATAAGAGACTAAGTCCAAATAATGAAGAGTAACAATGTATGACTCGCGAGCAACTTTATTTGCTAAATGAAAATGTTAACTACATTACGTTCTAATTATAAAACAATTAGACAGAAAAAAGCATACAAGCATCGTGATCATTTTTTGTATTCACTTAAATGATTACATTTAAGTTCTTTTTATATTCAGCAAATAGAATTTAATCTTTAAAAGAATTTAATTTAAAGATAAAAAATTAGCCATGAATTTTTTTGTTTAAGGTTGTAAATATCAAAAATCTAAACTAAAATGAAGAAATATCATCCATTTTAGTTTTCACTTATAAAGCTTAAATAACTGATTATAATATTTATCATTACTTGTATTATTGCAGGAATTTTGGCAGTACAGGAATTTATTACAATGCCTAGCGACGTAGAAGTGAATCCTGGTGAAACATCGCGTTTGATCTGCACAGTGAGGAACAGAGGAGGTGAATGTGCCTGGTTGAAAGATGGAGTAGTAGTTGGCAGAATTAACGAGAAATACAGGTTTCAAAGAGAGCCAGCTGATGGAGATTGCAGTATTGATGTTCTTAACAGTAAACTCGAAGACGACGACGGAATGTGGCAGTGCCAGGTGACCCAAGGATCTCTACATGATCCCACTCTGACGTCCGGTGAAGTTAGATTAACAGTGAGAGGTAAGAGTAGTGTTGAGTGAAATATTTTAATGGAGCTGACGTGAAGAATGGTTCAATTAAATCTGATTCTCGTTTCAAATACTTCATGTTGCTTAGAATATAATCTAAAGCGAATACCGAGATATACTATAAATTTTCTTGAGCGCTACACGAAGGCACTATAAAAGGAAATATATCAAATTTTATAAATTGAAATTTCATTGTTAACTGCCGTTATATGGGATAAATTTATTATTTTTGATGTTAAAGATTTAAAATTAATCTTTTCAATATAGATTTATATCTTTTGTGATTTTTTTTTTTTATTATTTACTTTCCGAAAATACAACTTTATCATTATTGAACGTGGGGAGTTTTGATATTAAATTGGTAACAATATGTTATATTCGAAATATAATTTTAACATTAATTTATATATTTTTAGCATCCAGTAAAAGAAAATTTCTATCAAGTTATTTATTTTTTATAAAGTTATAAAAATGCATATATATATATATATATTAAAATGTTTAATGTTTATAATGCAAGATTAGTATAACGTGATGCCATTGACTTGACGAGATCTTTGCGTGCAAATTGTCAAACTGAGTTGTTTATTTACTAATAGAAAATTTTTCTCTCGATCATTTTATTTGAATTATTAAACATTTATAAAGGTATTGAATTTGTAGGCATAAAAATAAATTTTAGACTATATTATCTGGGTCACTCACAAGAAAGAACACGTAAAAATAATAAGTTTTTTTTTTTTTACTTTGTAAGATTAAATATTCATTATTTACAAAGTCTGCTGGAAAGTAATCCATATCTAAACTTTTTTAAAGAGATTTTAAAAATAAGTGTAATCTTATGCATATTGTTTAAATGTTTAATTAATGAATTTGAGATTAAAAGATATAAATTTTTTTCAAAAAGAAAAAGCTATTTATTGTTAAATTCTATTAAAATTGTCATTAATATAATATTTTCGTAACTAATAATAATATATAAATGATAGTAAAGCCCATCAACTAATAACGATAATAACTAAGCAAAAATTATTTTTTATTACTTCACTAAGTATCTTGTTTTTTATTTTTGTATGTTTTTTGGACGGTTACTTACATAAGAGAATTTATATTTATAAATAACATTAAATTTTTGGCTTAATTGATATAAAATTTAAATGTTTTAATTATTTAAATAAAAATAAAAATATTTTAGTGAATTAGCCCGCTCCATACTAAATGTTTGAGCAATAAGTAGCCTATAACCTGTCATGAACATTCTAACATCTGTTTAGAATCGAAATGCATCATTAGTCACGTTTAATGCTACTTGATAATATTAATTTACATGAATCTATTAGAGAGAATATAATTTAATAAATGAATCCTAGACTTTAAATTCTATTTTATATAAATTTATTATTTTAATAATTAAGTGAACGATTATAAAGATTGATTTTTTTTAATGTTTAGAAGCGCCATTACCTCCCCTCATCGAAGATAATACTATACAGATCCATCCAGGAGATTCATTAAAAATTCGTGCAGGAGAGAGTAAAAGATTGCATTGCGTATCCAGAAGAGGAAATCCATCTGCCTTACTTAAATGGTTTATAGAAGATGAAGATATAACGTCTATGTCCAACCAAACAAGTATTAAAGATGTCGATAAGGAAAAAACGTGGCAGGCAACAAGTGTTTTGGATTATGTGTTTAATAAAGGACATAATAAAAATAAATTGAAATGTGAAGCTCTTCACGCTGCCTACGAATCGGGTTCAAAGGAAATCGAAATCAATTTACAAATTTTATGTAAGTTTGTTTAATTGTTTTTATAGAAGACACTTGTAATATTCTTCGTTTTATATCAGTTTTAAATTTTTTATAAGTAATATTTTATTCTTTATTTCAAATAATAAGAGAATACATACATCACTTTATTTATTGAGTTTAAAACTATTTTTATCTCATTTAAAGAAAAAACGATAAAGTAGAGCATTCTTTTCCACTTTAGATTCTGTTCTTATCTTCATATCGATAGTTTTCAACAAGGTTGATACGTAGAGATCCGTTGGTTGACCCGAGAACCACTCTGGAATTGTCGGTATCTTGACGGATCGAACCATCTTCCATTTTGGATGAAGCTTTCCACCACACATTTTCTCAGATGTACTCTTTCTCTTTTCACTTTCCATTACACTAGTAGACAATAATAATAAATGGCCAAAGAGCTTATCCATATTAAATTTAAGAATGACAGTAAGCTTGTCTATAAATTGAAATTTTGCTATAAATGTAATAATAAAAACTAAATCTTGCGTTATCTTTTATCCCCGCTTTCTAAATTCCAATTTAACTATGCCATAAATGTACACAAATAAAATTTACAATTTTTCTGTAAAATATTAAAACTGACATTGTTTTGCGCTACTGAACATCAACAAACGGAAGAGATTTCACGGTTTCTTTGGTATTTACGACTTGCAAAGGGAAGTTGTATTGTATGTCTCTGTTGAAGCTGTAAATAACTTCCTGTACTGAGTGGAAATATCTCACTAATGATAGCGGAAGTTAACTTCCTTCTGACGTCAGAAGATCCTCTTATGTGTCTCGAACTGCTACGAAACTGTAATAGTGTGCTTATACTTGAAACCATAAGGGAATTTCATTTAGCAAGGGTCACTACAGGTGTATCCTATGAAATGTGTCGAGAGCTTAAAATTCCGATTAATCTCTCCCAATGAAATTTTCCTCGTATTGAGACTAGTTTTAGTTACAACTTTAACTAAAACTCTTATTTATAGACTATATCGTATTATAACTTAGCATTTAATCATACATCAAGATGTCAAGACAGCGGACCAAGTTATTAAAACTAAGTAAATGACTCTGACAACCATTCATCTCTAATGCTTCAGCTAGCTGCCAAAGTCGCTACTTATATGGTCGTTTTGGTAGATTTTACACTGCGATAAAATCGCTCTAGTGTGCTATTATCGCTGTTCCGAATTTCAAGTGGACCATAAAAGCTGAATGAAATATCAAATCAGTCTCCCAAACAAAATGAAAAATCCATATAGTTATCTAAAAGCCGAATCTGCGGACTAAAGTTTTAACACTCCCTCCAGCGATGGAAAACTGTTGCTTATGTTCTTGTAAAGATAAACGAGATTACCTTTTTACAGCGAGATGTTTTAGAATAATTGAATTTATAAAATAAACATACTTCAGCAAATTGGTAATAATAGTTTGTGCCTAAAATGCCGTAAACCATCTTGCTGTTGCTCGGTATCCGCAATTATTATTTTTCGAACAATAGCTGCCATAAGACAGAATAGAGAGATAAGAAAATTCTTTACTAAGCGTGTAATAATAAAGTTAATTGTTTCCTGTTAATTGCATTAAGTTATATAAAACGTAACTGAAACTCTAAAAGTGCACATTTCATTTAATTTTTTTAAATGTCAAACAAATATATCTAATGACTAATTATAAAATCATTAGTAGTTGGAAAAATAATTGAGAGTAATTTTTGTCTTTTCAGATTTACCAGAGATACGTTTAGAAGGCACACCCACAAATGACATAGTGGAAGGTTCATCTGTATCATTGAAATGCATAGCAGATGCCAATCCTGAAGCGAGTATCATTTGGTTGAAGTCTGGAAATTCAGGAATCTACGAAATAAAAGATCAAATAGAGTTTAATTCTATCAGTCGAGCAGATTCAGCAGACTATACTTGTTCAGCTAAAAACGAAATTGGAGAAAGCGAGAAATTGACTGTCAAGATCGATGTCAAGTGTAAATTTTTTCTGTTGTATTTTTACTGTTATATTTTATATCTAACATGATTTTATTTCTATTGTAGTTTTAGAGATTTCTTTTCCCAAAGTAAATAAATTCTTCACGAGAACAAACAAATTCTCACTTAAAATCTTTCGAGAAACTTTTCTAACATAAATTATTGAGAATGCGAAAATCTCGAAATCTTATCACTCGAGAAGGATTTAAATTTTCTTATTTAAAGATCATTACAACGAAAATTTGACCGCAAAGTAATTAGTGACTCTCTTACCGAAGGATATACTCAGGTTATAACCCATAAATTTCAGTAGAATGACTCGCATTTGTTGTTCGTCTTTCTGAAAAGCCAGCAAGAGGCCAATTAACATTTTCACCTGTTCTTTTGAATACAAATATAAAAATTTAGCACAGTTTCCGAAAGAAGAAAGAGAAAAGGATCCGGGATAAGAAAAATCCATCTCGAAACTTTGTTTGGTCAAATTAGAACATTCAATTTTAATGCGTTCTGTCTGTACTGTTATCTCTGTGTAGTTAGGGAGCTTAAATACTGAAGCAGTTATTATTTATGATTAAGTTCAAGATGAGGAGAGTTTTTCTTCTATGGCCATCATTAAGTTTATGACGTTGGTATGAAGTCCAAAAGAATACATTATTGATCACGTCCTCTTCAGTTGCCGCTAAACGTAACTTTGTCTTCTTTCTTGAATTTATCATTGTCAGTGTTTTAATAAAAGTCAGTCTTTTAAATCTCTCGCGTGTCTTATCGTTATTGATAGTAGTAGTTTTTAAGAAGGAAAAAAAATTGAACCTGGAAGCGCTTGCATGCACGAAAACCTAATGAGAATGGATCACTATATGTTTTGCATATTTTTTCCATAAAATGGCCTTGCGATTATATCAGTGTGTCTGTGTTGTTCCACACTGAATACCGAGATTGTCACCAAGAAGTAGCTGCAGGAAATAGTAATACGTTCTGAATATATCGTCAGTCGAAATCATGAGATGGATTATTTTGGACATTTCTGTATCAACTGATGATGAGTATTTTGCATTTACAGAAACCTTTTCTTTTTATATTTTTTCCTATTCATCTTTTCTAAAAATACCAAATCCTCAAAGCAATTTCTATCATATTTTATTCATTTATTCAATAACAAAATTTAATTCAAATTATGAAAGATCAAAGAATTTGAAAAAGTGAGCTTTTTTATTTCTTTTTATTCAATCTTTTCATTAAGTTTCTATTCGTATATTTTATTTTCGTTTTTATTTTTTATAGAATTTATATATTAAATATTTATCTTGTTAATATTTTGTGATTTTTTAATGACGTTTACTTTTTAAAAAAACCGTTTAAAATTACATTTTATGTAAAAGGTAATGGTGCAGATATTTGTTTTTATGAATGATATTTGTAAATTAAAGAAAATCGGCTTGTTTTCTTTTAATTAGTTTATACAAATCTCTCCAGATGGCGGTAAAGTTAAAGCACCCAATTTAAAAAAAAAATGGGAGCATCAAAGTTAATTTTGTTTGATTGCACAAAAAAAGATCGATTTTTGACGTTGATTAATTTTCAGTTATTTTAAACATTGAACTTTTCGTTTATAATGAATAATTATTAGTGTATATAATAATATTTTCTAATAAGTTGAAGGATGAAACTATGTTGGCAGATTTTGAGCTGAACCAACTTTTTATACAAGCTTTCAAATACTATTTGCAGAGACCATTGTACCAAGTAAATTGGTAGAATGGTCTCTGCAAATTGATTCTGATGGTACCTACAACTAGGTATACTTAAACACTATTTGCTTGTTCCGAGGATAGGTTAGCTGGCAGAACGGTGGGCTTTTGCGAAATACAGTCGAATAAACTTCGATTTAGCGCTACTATTTATTTACGTCTGGAATTAGTGCTAAATAGAGTGTTTAAAGTACTTCAATTTATCGCCACATTGTAAATTATACATAGAATAGTAATGAAGTGTACAGTACATATGAGTTTGAGAGCTTTGCTATCATCAAAACACATGACTTTGTATGCTTTTGCATTGCAAATGATATTATTCAGTAATTCACTGATACTGAAGGGTCTTCTATTTAATATTTATGGGGAAGATCGGTTCTTGTATCCATAAGCGCTCTGTGAGAGTGGCGCTATTTGGGACAACTCTATATCAAGGTTTGACTGTATTAAAGACTTTAACAATTCTATTGGATTAACCAAACGTATAATTAGCCGAGTTTAAAAATTGTTTCCAGAATTGATTTTTTAAGAATCGATTAAAAAACAAGAATCGCCTGCATTTACAAAATTTTTAATTTTATTTTACTTTGTTATTTACAAATATATATATTTATCAATGACCTAGCCAACAATTGAAATACTAAAATATGTTCTTGTTGTTTATTTACAACGAGAACATATTTCAATTGTAAAATTAAATGATAATTAAAGTTGACGTATTATTTCATAGAATATTTAATATGAATTCAGCATTTGTATAGTACATATTTATTTCAAAATATGTTAACAGATAAATGTTTTCATTAACGTTTAATAAAATAATAAATTCGAAATTTGAAAGTGCGAAGTAATCGATGTTGATAACGTTGCTACTTGGTTACAATGTATAATTTTTACCGAAACAGGTTTTTCTAATGTTACATAGAACCATAATGTAGTATTTGTCATGTGGAGTTTCTCTAACTTAGCTCTAAGTTTTTAACTAAATGTTCAGTCTTACTGATGTGTTTTGTCTGTCGATTTTAGATAAGCCAAAGATTTTGCAAGTAACTCCTGGCCCCGAAACAACAGTGGCTCTGTATAACGCTACACGTCTCGAGTGTCACGCCGAAGGAAATCCACCACCTCGGTATGAACTATTTTGTCTTTCTCTATCGTAACAATTTTTTAATCTTTTTACCTTAAATATATACAGCACGTTTCCTATAACGTCTTTCTTGCTGTTGCAGAATTCTTGCCAAATTTCCATTTTATTCTCTGTTAGAAATATATGCTTGCATCTATAGAATCTTATTTTTCTTTTTTTCCTTCCTACCTGATATATTTTTGATGACAACCACAAATGCATACAATTATTTTCAGACATGAAATTTTCAAAATTGATGCATCTACAATGATTTGCTTGCGTAGAATTATTTTAAAAATTTTATATTTACATCTTTCTTTTATAGCTTTTTTTTATCTTTTAATTATCAGCATATTAGCCGCTTTTCTTCCTAGTGCACTTATGAGAAAAAGCATCTGTTTATATACTTAACAAATTAATTCTGTAATTAATTTTATAATTACTTAATTAATAATAATAAATAAATTTGTTATAGGTATATTTGGCTTCAGAAAATTTCTTCTGATCCAGTGACGTGGCAAGAAAGAGGTCATAATTCAACTTTATATATACACAACGTGACTTATGCTTATCAAGGTATCTATAAGTGCGTGGCATCGAATATCATTAATAATTTAGAAGAAAAAGTTGACTCGAATGAAGTTATTTTGGACGTTACAGGTAAATAAATATTGAAAATTCTTGATTTCTATTAATAAAAAAAAAATAAACTAACTCTACTATATTATATGTTTATATAGATTTTAAAAATCTATATAAACATCTGATATTTTACAACTTCAGAAGTGTTTACCATCAAAAGTATCTATTCATTTTAAAGCAATACAACTTTAAAATATATAGAGAACTTTGATAATCTAAATAATGGTGAAATTTTCTCGTTTATTTTTATTAAATTACATATTAATTAAAACCTTGTCAGTATGTTTTGAATATTCCTAAGTGCAATGCAATTGAGCGCCAATTTTCTGAAATAATTGAGGAGGGAAACTTTCGGTAGGGAAAGAATAAATACCTTAACAATAATTTTTATTCTTGTACTTTTTTTACTATTGTAAAAAAAAGACAAGGCATAGAGATTTAATAAATTAGAAATTTTTTTCGTATTTCTAATCATTTGTATGTATTAAAACAACCACTAGTCTTTCATTGTAATCTACAAAGTATTGGTGAAACTTTGAACTCAAAATACAAAACACATAATAATAATGACGAGATAGCTAAATAGTGGGACTACAGAAAATCATCGACAATAGCTATTACATAATTAATACTCTAAAGTCGATTTTGGTTAATCGAGTTTTGGATAATTCATGCTCTTCTGAATTTCTGGTAGGAGAATTGTACAGTACATAAAATGTAATAACTATGAAAATTTTATTAAATAATATTTTTTGTTCAATAATATCATTATGAAATTTTATAGTTGTATTCCATTTAAATTTTAAGAATAATATATATTTGCAACATTTTATTATAAATTTTGTTTGGCATCATACCAATGTTAAATTAAATTATTCTGAACATTTACAATTATGATAAAATTTCATTACGAAGGAACTAAAAGTTTAAATAAATATTCTTAAACATGTTTCTAGTAAAATTTTTCTTAAATAAAAATATTGATTAGTAAAGATTTTTATTCATATTCTAAATTTAAAACTTTTTGTATAAAATAAAAATACGATTACAAATTTGACCTTTTACAGATATTTGCTGCTGTTTTTTGAAAATAATTAATTCAGTTAATTTAAATGCAATTGTTACAATTATTTTATCATATGTTTATTTAATTCTTTTAAATTGGATAAGATAGCAATAAGTAATATTTTTGATGATAATCACATTTCAAAGTGTCATTTTCTCAAATATGTATAGCTGAAATATGTTAAATTATAATCGGTATTATTAATTAATTGTCAAAATAGAACTTAATTTATGTAAAATGTAATTAGTTCCTATACTGCTTAATATGATGATTTTAAAAACTGTTGTATAATACAATTAAAAATTAAAAATCTCTCTTCATAATTCAAGATTATGAATACTTAAATACAAGAATTGTGCCAATGCTTTGTTCATTAAATACGTAAATTAAAACATTTTAAAATTCACTAGAATGAAATTAAGCTTCCATAATTTAAAAATTTTTGCTTTTAAAGAAAATTGAAGAATAATAAAATGAAGAAAATTTTGTGCAATGATTTTCATTTATTTATATTATTTTAAATATCCAGGAGCACCCCAGATTTTGAGAGACGTAGCCAAAACTCAAGAGAAAGTAGTCACAGAGAAAGATGAGGATGCTTTCATCATTATTTTCTTTTGTTCTGATCCAAGCCCTCAAAGAACATTTTGGGAATGGGGAAGTCAGAAGTTAGATACAGGCAAAACTCACGAGAAATATATTGCGGAACCATTAGTTCCAGTAAGTACCGTTTAATATTTGAATCTGATAAATGTGTTTTCCTGAGAAATATCTCATATTCTTAGTCCCCTTTAAAAAATATCCATTATATCTTTTCATTAAAATACCTAACGATTTCAGAAAATTAATAAGATAACAAAGGATATCTTTAAAATGATGTTTAATGAAGATTTTAATTTATAAAATGAATGAATGAACATTAATAACATCAATCGATAAGTTACGTTAACTAACTTCTAGAAAATGGTTAAATTAACTCATTAAATATTTCTTTTTTTCTTGCTGGAAAAGATGCGGTTATTCCATTAACTGTTGACTTGATTGCCCTTAAACTTATTTTAATAACTAAAATCTTAAATTAATTTCTTAAATAAATTTTTATTTATAAATAAAGGATGAGATACAACAAGATTGTTATCAAGCAAAGTTGATTGTACAGAAGGTAGACGGAAGTGATTCAAGAAAATATACATTAAATATTGAAAATGAAAAGGGTCGAGAATCTCATGCTGTAGCATTAAAAGTTAGAGGTAAATTATATCTACGGAATTAATTAATTTAGCATTGATAGAATATTCATTTTATTCATACATAGACTTATATAAATGTATATTTCCTTTCATCTTTACAATTAGAGATAGTCAGATTACATTAGTTAGTACATTAAGAACTAATTGTGTGAAACAATATTGATAAATAACTTTTCATATATTATTTACAGTTTACATAAACATGAAAATTATATATAAATATCTTATCTAGTTATAACATATTTTATTTAAATTTTTAGAACCAGTTTCGCTGTCTGTAGTTATAGGCATTGTTGTAGGCTGTATCGCCTTATTTATCATCATAATAGTAGTAGTCATCTACCTCTTGAGGGCAGAAAAATGGTGTTTTAATCGTAAGTTTTTTTAAATATTTATAAAATTTTATATATTTTTCCTAAGTTAAAAAAGCTTAAAATTTTACATTTAAAAAACTAAGGAATCGTTCGATAAAAAAATATATTATAAATAATTGGTCTTCGGTTGATGCCTCTCCAATTGAATGTTTCGAGTGGGAACGGCTGAAACACTATCTGCATACTTGTAATGTCATCCGAATTCTTTGCATTCCAAGAAGTGTTGAATCGCATTTGGAGATTCAACTCGGATCGAATTTATTCAGTGTTTCATTAGAAAATTTACCATTTCATTTATTAATTTCAATAAAAAAAATTTGTTCCATAAAATGAAATAATCTTCGTCCTTTGCTTCAATTAAAACGAATGAATAACTTACAATTGGTTACGCTTTTATTACATTCATTACTTAAATACAGAAGATGTGAAGACAGATTAAATATCAGCCTACTTTGTGGAGATTTTTTAGGCATCTGCTTTCAACGTACCGTTAGATTAATTGAAATTCTGCAGTGACCTGTAATATAGATGGTGCTAATATATAGAGAGTAGAGGCCAGACCGGAAGAAATGAGTTTTTCCCCTCTTTAATGTAAAAACATCTGCCTAGAAGTTTTACATTGATCTGCTTGGTCCAACCCATTCTGCAAGACTTCAATTTTCTCTGAAAACTTGTCAATTTTAAACGGCATGATTTTTTTTCCTATCCCAAACCTCGAAGCCTAGTATCCAATAACAACCCGTGCTACTATAACAAGGTTGTACTAAATTTCAAAAGCAATAGACATACGAATGTCAAAAAATAGATAAAATTTCGAATATTTAGAGATAAAATTAATGAAATATATAATCTATTAACTTTCATTACTAACGAATCTAATTTTATTAAAATATTAATTTTTTCTTTTAAAAATAAAATTTAGTAATAAATTAAACATTAAAAGTATAAACTACATTCAGTTATGTTGACTTTTTGTTTATTTTAATAAATTATTTTGTAATTACAATTCACAAATCATGTTTTCGTGTTTAATTTTCAATTTACTGCACATACTTTTTTTTTCTTTATCCATTGTCTCTTTTTTTTGCATTTTAAATTCTTTTATTGCACGTCATTTTCACTTCAGTTGGCATTTATTATTTATGATTTCTTCCAGTTTTATTTGGAATATTGGAAATAATAATTTCTTTCGTATTTCTCAGTCAAATCATTTATATATTCTCGTTAGGCACCAAACATTCAGGATTTCCTGTGCCGCAAGACGAAGAATCTAAACAACCATCCATGGAGAAGTTATAACTGTGTTTCCTTGGGCGTCGAATCCCAAGGATGGAGATCTCCGAAGCGGTAGTGTTGTGTTCATTACGAACCCTACCAGGGAATATGACTCCAGTGTTAAAAAGTGACTCCAGCACTGGCCAAAAGAAGTGTCGTAGACACTGGACACAAACAATGCATCACGGACACAAGAAATCGATATGAAGATTTGTAAAGCTATGGTGTTTTTTGTGATCAGCGCAAAACTCACTTCTATATTCCTCCCCACAGCCAGCAGACACTTCGGTTCGGTTTAGAAGCTTTTGGATATTTTATTTTAACATTTGTCTTTAATTAACCGAGTCGAAGTCAGTCTGGGACTTTTCTGTGATAGATAAATGCTGTAGTTTTGCTTTTCTCTACATTCTATAAAAAAATTGGGTGGTTCTCCGACAACGAATGTTGTTATTTAAGCAAATGTCTTCATTGTTATGTATGCGGTGCCTGATATAAAAAAAAGAGAGAGAGAAAAAGTTAATCTGTCTCTGATCATTGAAAAAATACCTCCGTGTGATTTATATTTATATCTACATAATATATATATATAAATCACGGTATTGAATAAAATTTTTGTTCAGCCTGTTTGATATAATTGTTAGTAAAAATTGGTTATTAATGCTGAAATGTGTTATATATATATATCCTAGTATTTGGTTTTCGAACGAAAAAAAAAATCTTTAATCGTGTGTTTGTGGTGTCGGAAAACAGGAAAACCGCTAGTATCACCTGGTGTACATTTCAAACATGTATCGTTCTATGTATGTAGCCTGTAAAGGGATATATGGACCAAATTTCTTGTGTATAAAGATGGACAGAAATCACTGAGCACTCTTCTTTATATAATTCACAGACTGTAATTTTTCGAACGATCACATCAAGTTTTTTTCTGTACGCCAGGATGTCTGCCCGATCCATGTACATCTGTTAATAAACCTTAATTTAATGCTATTGCTCATTCGAATATAATTATCAAGTTTTTACATTTTCTTATTTTGATACACGTTGTAATCCAATACGCTAATATAAATTGTAAATTTTGTTTTGATTTTTTTTTTCAAAAGGAAAAGGGTACTAAAATTAATCCTAAAATGTAGAGTTTATTTAAATAAATTCTAGATTTTTGGTTAAGATTTTGAAGGTTTTGAAACTGTGATAGTACCTGACAAAATTCATCTCTAAAAAAACAAAAACATTTTAGGACTAAGCTTGATCTGTGAATTATGTATGTCAAAATGATTTAAAAGACTGTACTTAATAAAGACAATAAAAATAAATTCGAAATATTGTAATTAAAATTAATGCATTAATACTAAAATATGTATATAAAATATTAATATATCAAAATTTTGATTAGATTTTTCAACAAGTAATTTAATTAACAGGAAAAATATTTAGACTTTTAAAATGTAATTGTCATTAAGTTCTTAAATTGATTGTTTTCTTTCGAAAATTTTAATCTACATCGATAAAATAGCAAGCCATTTTCCATAAAATTGAGAACAATATTGTAGCAGTAGCCGTTCAGACTATTGATTGTTAATAGTCTCTACCAAAACCAATCTGTCGTCGTAGAAGCTCGGTAATTGCTGCTATAAAAGTATCTTTGTTTCTACCTTTTTCCCCACTAAATAGTCATTAAATTCGGTTCAATTAAACCAATTAAGGTTGCTTGTTAAATATTATCCTGCTTACCTTTGTAAAATTAAGATATTTTTCCATTTTAACGATAAAAATCGTTTAAAATTTAAAATACATTTAAAAATAGCTAAATATTCATTAGTTTTATTTAAAGGGAGTAAATACAATAATTTAATACTACTACTAATTATTTTGTTTTTTATTCGGATTATTTTTTTTTTAATTTTTATTCTTTTTTAAATATAATACTTCAGAATTCTTCTTTAATTTATTACAGGTCATCGTGAATTTGCTCCAGAAAGTGATAGGTATGCCTTGTTAATCATTACTTAATAAATAAGTTTATATATTATTTATTAATAAATTTATCCAATAAAATAATATAGAGGATTTTATGTAAGAATGAATTTTGTTATATATTCCAGAAAGTTGATGGGCATTGATTCTCTAGAGGTTAAATTTAACGTTTGTTTTCTAACAGAAATATTGTTTCGTTCGACAGAATGAAATCGAAAACAAAAAAGTAAAGAAAAAAAAAAGAATTTTTTTGGCAATTTCCAAGGCGTTTCTAAGTTTTCGGAATTGTGTGCAATCACGTTAGAATTGATATACTAAGATATGAGGTACCGAGATCCAGTATCTCGGTCATCAAGACGTAAATCTGCACCAGAGATTTATTGAAATATTCACCATGCAATTTTACTGCCATCTGCAACCTTCTCGGCCTAGCAAAAAAAAAAAAAAAAAGAGAGAGAGAAATTTTAAAAAATCGAATGAAAGTTCTTCCATACATTTTCTGACTTTGATATAATAAACTAAAATTAAGCATGCGAAAAAGACGAGGAATTTGTTTATTAGTTATTGAAAAGTTTTCTTTAATTTTATGTTTCATAAAACATTTTTTCTTGTCTGCTTCAATGGAATTTGCTATGTTAGAATTAAGAGCAGTTAAAATATTTTTAAGTTACTGTAAATAAGCAACCATTAAAAATATTATTAAAGAAGAATTTTATAAATTTAGCATATTCTCATTAAAATTCGCTGACTGTTTTTGTTCTTTGAAATTTCTTTTTTGTGATCTTTTAATGAGAAGTCCAGGATTGACTTGTAATGAAGTCATTAACTTCAAAAGACTATATGACAGTACAATACGCTCGAAATGTTACTTTTATTTAAATTACTATTCTCAAATTTGTACCAAGTCGAGTAATTTGAATTTTGCTCTTCTTTCTGTTTTCTAGTCGAAACGCGTATCTTGGGATCATTATCACGCCGAATCAATTAAAGATAATCATTTTTTTTAAATCAGTTTATTTGGAAATATCAAATTACAGAAACTAATTATTGTTAAAATCGCAAGAATCTTTTCCACCTCTGGGAATGATATGTTATCTATTTATATTGAAATCTCCAAAGAGTGGTTTTCGGTTCTCTAGTGAATATCTTCAGGGAAATTTCCCTAAAGCACTACTTTGAGTTAATTTAATTTAATTTTTATTTATTTCAGTGAACTCGGTCACTCCGTTAAGAATGGAAGAACAACGAACGCTGGGGCAATCCCTCCCGATGCTTTGTATGCAAACTTAAAAACGGAGAAAGGAGTTCAGGACGAAAAAGTAAGAAAATTAGCAAAAATTACCTTTGACTAATCGCATTGTGTAGTAACTCGTGCTTTATCTAACAGAATAAAGAAGCTCCGAATCGAAAGGAGAGCCTTGTTTATGCTAGCCTCGATTTATCGCAACCATCTAATGACGTGCAAAAACCTTTAACGTCTTCTCAAGAAAGAACCCAATATGCAGAAATACAATTCCAACCGAAAAAACGAGCGGATCAATCTAACGATTGAAGAATAACCATTAGGAGTTAGAACACATCGAGGGACCAGTTTAGTAGGAACACCTACGTAAAGTGTGTACAAATTGTGGACTTAACTGGCGGTGCTATCTTGAAGGAGATATTTTATAAATCATATTAATCATCTGATTTTATGATGATGTATCTGTGTATACTGTATTGTTTTGTACGATTCGTTTACATTATATAAAGTATTTTCTCAAAAAAAATAGTAATAAGTGATCTTTTATTGTAAATGATTTAATTTCTAGTTCGAATTATTAAATGAGAAACTGCACGACGTTGGAACAGTATATAAATGTAATCTTAATGTAACCACAGCTTTGCTGCTATTTCTCTGCTCATTAATGTCGATGAGGTCAACGCATTGGCCTTTCTGTTGATAGCCAATAAACGGTCATTTTACTGCCCCACTACACTACAGGTGGTAACATTTGGACCATGAATAAACCGAGGCGTGATTGCTGTAATAAATCTAACAGCAGCTGCCGCTTCCGCTGCAAAGCTACGGGGAAAATGAAAAAAGTTTGTCTAAAGAAAATTTACACTTAAAAATAATGGAAACATTTTTCAGTTAAAAACTTTCATAAGTTAACAAACAACATCAAACAACAGTGCACTCCGCCATTTTTTTCAAACTTATAATGGTTATCATTTACAAAATATTAATTCGAACGTATTAAACACAAATTATATTTTTAATCAAAATTTCAATTAAATTTCATCAAAAAAAAGCGCATGCATAATTTCAGTTGCAATTTAATCTTTATAACTTGTTTGGTTGCATTAAAGCATTTCTGAATTTTATAATTCAGTGGCAGTGATCTATTCATGAACATTAAACAAATAGACCGTATATATCAAATACGTACAGGTACAGACAATACAAACATCACGCACAAAATTGTTTATTGCCTAAACTTAGCAAAAGCGATGCAAACCACTTTTATTGAATAATGTTTCATGTAGATAGATATCTGTATAATAATACATAGACGAAACTATATTCAAGCAAATCAGTGTTAAAACTTTCATAAAAGTTTTTGGCAATAAACAATTACTTTCTATTCAAGCGATAACAGATAACCAAAGTTGGATACTATCCAATGATCGACAGTGAGTGATAAATATCGGGAACATATCTCCTGTTAGATAATACCTATCTATATAGGGAGTGACATTATCCTCTGATGATCTGAACAATATCCCAAGGAAATTACCTGTCATCATTTTTTCTATCTATTTAATGATGTACTTTTAAAGGTAACGTTAGTGTCAGATTTGATCAATCAGAAAAAAGAATAACACCAAATAGTAGTATTAAGCTTCTATAACGAGATTATCCAATTTCTTGATGATATACTGCTTGTCATTTTGATAAATAGAAAAGAAATGATTACTTGTCACACTTTCAAAGCAACTTTTCTTAGTAATAACCACCTTTTTTTCAAAGTTTGTTTTTTTAATTTGATAAAGAAACACTAAAGCATCTATATTAGACATAATTCATTTAACGATTCCTAGTGAAGAAGATAGATTTCACTTGTTGTAAGCTTAACAAAGCGAAATTTCATTATAATGAAATTTTTCAACCTCTTTGTTTTGATATCTCAATTTCTACTGCATTTTATATATTAAATTTGTCTCGAAAAACTTTAAAAATTGTTGTTTCAATCGATCTCTTGTGTATACTCTCTTTATACGAATTTCAACAATAACGGTCATGGTATTATTACACATTTGAGAATTCATATATCTAAATCTCATAAAAGTCTTAACACCGTTCAATTCATCACTATTAATGTTTCGCATCATTGCTCTCGAGCATAGTGAAGATTGGAAACTTATTCAAATTGAAAGGAATAGAGTCATTCAGAGAGTTAACAGACTAAAAGTAATAGAACCCATTCCAATTGAATGCCTCAATTATATATATAGCAATTTCGAGATAATTGTGTAGTTCCGATTTTCAAAAAATTCTCAACTTCTTTACAATATAGATAAAATTTCAATTTTTAAACTATACTTAGATATAAAAACGATGAGGATATTACTTTACCAACTAAGTTAATAACGTCGTTTGGTACATTATAGTAATAGAAAATGATGTTTAGAATAATTTTTAAAAAACAATTTTTAAATTTTATTTATTAATCTTTGAAATGTTAGAAGATAATCGCTATTAACTGGAATCAATAAAGTAATGCCAAGATTTAGTAGTAGAATTTGAACTAAAGAAGATTTACAAATCTAACAATTGAGAAATAACTTATATTGGCATTTTTTCTTCTTTATAAATTTTTGAGATAAACAATTTTAATAATTTCTTCTCTCGTTTATTCATATTATAATCTCTATTTTAAACAAAAAAGATAGTAGTAGTATTAGTAGTAGTTATTTGATGAAATTGTAGATATTAATCTCGAGAACAGTGTTAGATGAAAGTCAAGACCAGATATGGAAAGCTTAGGGACTTGAATTGAAAACACGTGACTTCCTAGACCGGAAGTCATGTGATTTCAATTCAAAAATTTTCCCCGGAGTTAAAGATGATTTGCATGATTGTATTGTTATCTAGAAAAGTATGATGTACTATACATGTCAAGACACTACTAATTCGAGATCGAGAGCATACATTTTAAATTAAATAAATAAATTAAAAATTTTAGCCCGGTATTGTGACAATGTTACAATAATTTTTGTTCGATTTTGTTATGTAGCCTACTTGTATTGATGTTTAAATAAATCTTAACTATTTATTTTTATACTGAATTTAGATATAACAAAAAAAAATTTATTTTATCAGTTTCACTCTGTACCAATAAAACACGA